TATTCTTTCCAGTGCAGGACAGAAGGCAGATATTGGAATGAATGGAGTTTCACACAGGTCTCAAAGTGACCAGACAGAAGTGAGAAGCAGGTTCCAAATGACACGTGCGTCCACATTCTCAGGATTAAAAGACACCTTCTTCTAATCTTGTTCCTCAAAATGCCCAAACCCAATCCCAAAACTATATGAGATCCCAGGAACTTTCCCAAACAAGAATCATGAAGAGGTCACTTCATCTCTAACCCACAGTCATTAATCTAATACAAGAACGTTAGTAACTAAGATCTCATTCTTCCAGTTCACTTGGCCTACCTTAGCCAACTACATTTTCTCTAAAGGAAACATTTCATTTTAACAGCAAGATGTCAAAAATCCACAAAGACTGAAGGCATTAATAAAAAGTTATGGAACTAGGTAGCTTTCACCATTCCTATCTGTACTCAAAAGCTACATTTTGGGGGAAAAAAGGGATCTTACACTACTTTGTCACAGCTTTTTATATTAATACACCACAAGGAAACATTAATTTTTCCTTCCTTCTGCAAGAAAGGCTGCATGATCTTGCTGGCAGGCAATAGTTCTCCTTTCCAAATCCAATCCATTTTGAAGTCAAATGAGTTACTATTATGGGATCCTAACTTCAAGGAACTGCCAGGGTGGGGTAGCCCTTCTAGGATTGGGGATCCTAAAAGTACTTTTAGCTACCCGAAAGCCTCCAATCCTATGAGCCATTATGTTTGCCATGATGGAAAGATGTGGAAAATAATTTTTAACAGACTTGGTAGCCGCATTAAGCCCCCACTTGCTCTAACTTCAGAATTACCAACCCATGAGCCCTGAAGGACAGATGCTTCAACGTCTCAGACAGCTGTAGATCGGGAAATGAGTCACTTAGAGATCCCAATGAAAAGTTACAAAACCTCTACAGAACGAGGAGGAAGTCAGTCTAAAAACACATTTTTTAGATGCCCTCTGGAATATCCTAGAAAAAGAACTAATCCTATTTTCTATATTTTTAAAGATAGAATTATGAGAAAATTGTGAGAATCTTAGATTTGAAAGGGTCCTGAGAAACCATCTAGTCCTACTTTGTCTTACAAATGGAAAAAAGCAAAGTCCAAAGAAGATGAATGTCTGAGCCAAGACTGGAAGCTGTGGCTTCAGAGGTCTGGTCCAATGAGATCTCTCTCACCAAGTTATACCTTTCTTTGGATTACCAGCTCTCCAAATCACTATCAAATTCTTCTGTCTACAAGCCATTCATTCTGCTGTCTCACACTAATGGATAGAATTCCTATGTAGCAAATAATGAGAACCTGCAGCTATATCTTAAATATATCTCACCTTATTCTTATTTCCAGGGAACATGTTAGGATTCATTATTACTCCATATACAGGAACACTTTCCAGATTCCCTTCCTCAGTTTTACAAACCTATTACCAAGGGTAAGTTTTTCTATGCTTCAGTTTAATACAAAGACCAAGGGCCAAATATCTAAATACATCATTTTTTCCAGAAATAATCACTACTATCTTTAACATTTCTGAAAGCTGTCAAGTTTACCACATGTAAAACATTAAACAATCTTGAAAAGAATAAAGGTTTTTAAAAGTTAGAAAACCAATTAGGCAGAATAAAGTACCTTTTCTGTCAAAAGGCTCTCAAAGTACTTTACAATTAGAACCACTCTCCTCTTTGCAAATCCATTCTATTCAGAACATGAACAATAATGATACAACCCTCCTACAGGTGGGGCAAATAAGCTATGCAAGTTCATGAATAAAACCAATGCAGAAACACCTCAAAGCCAAGGTTAGCGAGCCTTCCTCAGTACTACAGTGATACATTCTGGAATACTCAACTGACTCATCTTTTCATATGTAAATACAAAGCTGTTGGAATATGTGCCTTGAAACTTTTTCAGAACTTTTGACTTTTTAGTTGAGTGAAAGAGGCTAGCAAGCAGTGGATGAAATAATTGAAAATAATTCGTGGCCCTAATCCTAAGACATTTTCCTATCTTACTTTTTAAGTTGACTTTCTAGAACAGAGGGCTAAGAACTGTACTTCACTCAACCAGCAAGGTTTGAAAATGATGTTTTAAGAAGCCACTTCTTTGGCAAGATTTCTAAATCTTGCAAAGTGACACCAAGAGTCTAGCAGTGGCTTTGATCAAAAAAAAAAAAAACAAGAACCAAGCAGCTCGAACTTTACTAGAGATTAATTTCTTGTAATGGAGTCGATTCTCTTTGACTTCAAAGGATTAAAAAAAAAAAGATTCATACATTCTTGAACATAGGTATTGTTTGCCTAATGAGGGTGTCTCTCCCTTTCTCCTCCACCCCACACACATAAAATAACTGCAACAAAAAGCCTGCCTGGCTTAGAAGTCCATGCAATTACTTGAAATTTTAGTGTTTATATAGGTAAAGACTATATATATACACATCACCTCCCAGAGATGTTTCAGTGCCTAAAAAAAGGAATTTAATGAAGTTAAACTAAGTAGACACTGTGCTTTTTAAATTTTATTATAAAAGCTTATCTTCTTCATTTCTCTTTTGTGCCAATCTCTCTTTTTTCACTGCAAAAAACATTCTCCCAACCTGTACCTATGCAAATTCTGACTAAACTATGAGACATTTCCCAAGTGTCATACCTTCTCCATTCAAGTAATCAACAACCTAGTCCTGCCAATACTGATCACCCTCTTCGCCGTACATGGAAAAACTGTACACTGTTTCTGTTGTCATATGTGTTAACTGCTTCTTCAACTAGCTATAGAGTTCCTTGAGGACAGAAACTTTATTTCATACTTAGTTTGTCCCCTTTGTGCCTAGACACTGGGTTATGCTTTCAAAGAATAACTTCAGTATCTGTATTTTGGGAGGGAAGTGTACTTAAGCATTTTTTTTAATCCTCTCTCAAAATCAATTTTTATACAGCTTACTAAAATCAGGTCTTTACTGTCAATTATTTTACAAGTATTGGCTTCATTTATCCTAAGGGCACACGCTTTGAAGAAGAAGCCAGGTCAGAAGCCCAGCTCCACCACTTACTATGTGATCCTGGGCAAATTCATTCATTTCTCTCAGCCTTTTTCCTTATCTACATAATAGCACCATCCTCATGTAACTGATGAGATAATGTGTGCAAACCCCTTATCATTTGCCTAATAGATAGTCGACAAATGGTAATTGTTATTACTTTGTGAATAAATAATGAGGAAAGAAGGAAGTGTCAAACTGCATTACTGTTAGAAAGCATTTTTAGTTATTTACTGTGCTTACATACAGGTCTGAGAAATTATATACATATATCAAAAAATATCATTTCTAACAAAAATAGGAGGGTGAGGTTTAGAGACCTTGAGGAGGGGAGGCATATTTGGAAGAAAAATTGATTTTAAAAATGTTTTTGTTAAGTTGTCATTTAAATAAAACTCACTTTCTATTCAATTCTGTTCACTGTTCTTCAATTAGAATTGTCTTTCGAGATAATGACGTGTTGCTTACAAAACAGTAACAGAGCATTATTTTTATTTTGTGTAATTAATTTTAAAATCCTGTGATTAGATTTTTGGTGGCATGGACCAGGTTAGAATTACAGGAGTGAGGAAGAAGATAAACATGGTTTCCCCATCTATACTTAATCTCAGACATATCTGTTAACTTTCGGTTTAAACTTTATTACAGAAGTTAATTTAGAAAATCTTTTACCCAATAACCCTATAGGTTTACTGATGTGCACTGTTGCAATGATATTAGGCAAGCACAGGAAACACAAAGATACCTATCAATCTTCCCTTAAAGCTCTGGAGTAGAAGCAAGAACAGACCGAAAACCCATGAACCGAAGATGATCGGACTCTGGATTCCAACCACAAGATGATTCAGTAAAGTTGGAAATAAAATCTTCCTACAAAGGAAGCAAGAATCTCGGGACCAAAATACCAAGAGTTTATTTAATATCTAACCACAAAGGCAGTCAACGAATATTTGCTATAAATTAGGAAATGAATTATCTTAATTTTGAATTCTCAGAACCTAGCACAGTGCCTGGATCAAAGAATAGTGGCTAAATCAAGGAACAAATGTATTTAATGAATGCTATCAAAAAGAATCCAGAATATAGCTATTCTCCACTTAAAACATAAAAATAGATGTGGGAAATTTTAAGTATTAGATACACAAAAAAATAAAACAAGAAAAAACCTAAGGTTACTCTCCAGAACAAGAGAATCACGAGGAAATGCCCCCAATTTATGAACCTGTGACATCTTCGGCAATTAATTCAAACTAATACATTCTTATTGTCAACAAGAATAAACAGGAGTCAGCTGTACTTTATACTCTCCTTTCTTTTAGAATTATGACAATCTTCTCTATCAATATAATGAATGATAGCAAATTTTGTTTTTGCAAATCTTAAACATTACAAACAAACCAAAATTCTTGTTTCTGAATTCTATGTACAAAAGGGATGACTGGTTCATGCCTCTACCTCCTGGAATTCTTTCACCATAAACCTAATTTCTTTGCAATGGAGCTTTAAACAACTTCCTCAAACATGGCACTACTCTAAAAATAGTTTATTAACATATTCTGATCAGCAACCAATCTAAGACTCCCTTCCACTGCAAACAAATCTCAGAACTGGAAAATGAGGCAAAGGTAAGGACATCTGATACATACATAATGAAAATATTCTGTGAAATTTTAACACCTCAATTTACAACTGACTGGTTTATATAATATTCAGTAATTTATGCTCATATTTTGGTTGTTTTGTTTTGTTTTTAAGACATTAGGCTAAGGTTAACATTCTTATAATGAGAGCATTCTGGCAAAATCCTGCAATTTTCCATTTCTATCATGAGGATGGCAACAAGGAAAAGCAAGCACATACTTCTGAAAGACTAGATTCGGACACATCTGATGAAAGACAGCTCCAACCTTCCCTGAAAAATAGGCCCACTTTTCTGACACAAGTTTACTTACCTCTCCCATCGCTCTTCCTTCCAGAGCAAGTGCTTGAAAATCATGATTCAGTTCATCCATAGAACGTACCTATTGTTCAAGAACAGAAGAGGAAAAAAAAGTTTTGAGTTAGCATCTTGAATTTTATATACACATTAAACACAACTGAAAAGCATTTCCATGTTGACTTTCAGATAAGACAATAACAATTTTCAAGTGACTCAGGTTAAACATTCACTTACCTTTAACCATCAGGGTTCAGCAATGACCCCTCTGCTTTCTCCCCTCCCATTCCCTTGTTTTCAAAACATGAAAAACATATAATCCAGAAAAAGAAAAGGCAAATTCTATCACAAGAATTGTTAGCTATTTTTCATACATTTTAACTTAATATGTAAAGACCAACATGCTGAAGGGCAATGATGCATAAAGATGATTATGTTACCTAAACTAAACCTGGCTACTGAGTCAAAGCCCCACAGTGTTTGTCCCCAACTATGTATGCACAAATTAGGAGACTCATTTAATCCAACCCAGTATTTCTTCGAGAAACTTCAGGGAAAGGTGTTACAAACTATATAACGGAGTACCCCAACATTTCTCCATACTAAAAGATCTCTGGAGGCTCCTAGAATCTCAAAATCAGGAGAAAAAAATAGCACATACCACAAAAATTCCTTCAAACTTTATCTATCATTAAATGTACTACCCTCATCATAATAATCTTTCTAGGTGTCAATGAACTCATCTCCAATGTCATTACTACAAGGCAATGTTAAGATCAAGGATGAAGTGTGAAAGATTATTCAAAACAATCATAATTCAAAAAGCCTTTGTTGCCAATAGCCTGCTAGTCCTCTCAGTTATGAGCAGCAAGCCACCTCTGCAGCCTTAGGCTAGAGTACAGTTTCTTGTTTACTCAGGGGATAGGTTATTCTGCCTCCCTGAGAAAGACCTCTGATTGCCCGAAGCAGGGTCTCTCAAACCCCCTCATCTGATCTTCACTACCTCCCAAGTGTATAATTTCTAGCAGTGGGTAAACAAAAAGGTCAAGCTAGAGCCAGGCAGAGAGAAGAAAGACTATAAAGAGCATGGACCAAAATATAGCTACAGGAACCAATTTAAGGATTTTATTAACATGATGCCTGTGTATGACCCAATGATTTTAATTTAACTGAACTGATACCACATAGAAATACAGTTACACTGTTTTAAATCACATAATTTCAAAACTCAGAGATGATACTATGCTACAAATGACACACTGTGTCACTAAGATGTAACAGCTTTGGGATGCTAGCTAAAAATGTAAATTTATAAAATTCAAAATGAAGTTAAAAGTCAGCCTATGAGAACAAAGACATAGGAGACAAGCCTTGTTATTGTGGTAAAAGTTTGAAAGGCCTTGAAACAGAAAGTATGATCACACTGTAAGGAATTTTGGTAAGCATTTTGAATAAGTTCCTGAACTGTAAAAATAATGGGGGGGGGAGGGGAAGTATGTTGACTGGAAACCCGACACGTGTTAGATGAAATCATTTCGGGCCTTCAGGTCACCGTTAACATTTACAAAGCACGTAAATCAAATGCATGCAGCTCCATATCTAGCTCTTTCTGTGGAATCTAATCATACATTTAACTGGAGCTAGGCCATTTCTTAAAAATCCAAAAATCTACAAATAGTTTTAACCAAGAATGTTGGAAATTCTATTTATGTATCCCAAGGAAAATGTAGGAGTCGTTAGAAAAGACAGAACATGTAATATACATATTTATGTAATAATTATCACAACAATCCCCATTTAAGAAATTAGAAAACTGAGCCTCAGAGAAATGACTTCCTGACCATTGTTAAGTAAGGAAAAGCACTTAAATAGCACTGCTAGCATCTAAATTCACATCTTCCAATTTAAAAAGCAATGTCCTTTCTACATAGCCAAGCTAACTCCATGGTAGCTGCAAGAAGTTTCCATCCCCAAATAAAAGTGCCTTCGGTTTCTGCTGTGGACTTCGATGAGTATGCTCTCCTGGACTTGCCTTTGCTTTCCACGGTCCCCCCCCACCTTCAAAATTGTCCACCTTCCACTTGTCGCAATTTCCACTCTTTTCTATTCTATCTTCCCACCCCCATCATTCTCTCTCACCACTTATTAGCTCACTCACTCACTCACTCACTCTCTCAGGTCTCTCTCACTCTTTAGCTCTCCCTTTACCTCCTCCAGCCCTCTCTCTTTCAAGGTGTCTCCTGCCTCACCTACAGGATGAAACACTTTTCCTCCTACCTCTATATACTTCTTTCTTACCTCCTGTAGACAACTGTTAAGAAAGTAATCTCACTTTATGAAGTTTTCTTTGCTAGTCCAGAAACTCCATTTTAAACCATTTGCCCATAATTGACTAGACTAGATAAACCAAATTATTCTCACAAAACTGTTCTTAACTAGTCAGGAACTTATTGTTTAAAATGGGAGCTGTACCTGGTATGGTCATCGAAACCAGGCAGACTCTCCAGACAAAATTCTTCCTAGGAAAAAAAACTAATGATCAGAAGAAGATGCTCAGGAATCAAGAGAAATCAAAAAATGAAGACAGAGGATTGTAAGAAATATTTTAGGCAGGTAACAAAGAAGCCTTTTCTATCATAGAAAAGCTGGCTGTAAATTAAAATCAGAGTAAATGCTCCATCAAGACAGAACAATCTTTTCAAGTTCTTGTACTCAAACTCTCCTTTCCCTAGAATTCAATTTGAGTGACCGGTTAATGTTAAGTTTCTAGTACTACTTATTAATTCCTTCACTTTTACTTAACGTCCCTAAGACTCTCTTCCTTCCACTAACTTAGTGGTCCCTAACCTTTTTGGCACCAGAGACAGGTGCTCCTATGAGAATCTAATGCTTGATGATCTGAGGTGGAGCTGAGGCGGTGATGCTAGCGCTGGGGAGCGGCTGCAAATAAATACATATGAAGCTTCACTTGCCTGCCGCTCACCTCCTGCTGTGCGGCCCTGTTCCTAAAAGGCCAAGGACTGGTAGCAGTCCGCAGCCCAGGGGTTTGGGAACCCTGCACTAACTGATCGTAACTATCACCTTTGGTTTCACTTAATTACTTCTTATTTTTCTTTTTGGGCTACTTGCCAGTAATATGTAACTTTCTCATGCCAGTCCAGGACTTTACTGCTGCCCCTCCCCAAAGGCATCCTCTCACACTCTCTTTACTAAAGAGGCAAAGCAAGATGACCACATCGGTGCCTGACCTACTTCTATATTCCTCTTCATCCTACCCAAGGATACCATCGACATACGTGATGACCTATGCTTCAGTGTTTTCCCTCCATTTCCCAGATCCCAGAACTTTCTTTTGTCTCAACACTTGCCTTTCTCCTAAGAGGAATTCTGTCCTAACATAATTTGCTAACATAATTTAGCAAATTAAATTAGTATTTTAACTCACTGGAAGTTATAAAATCAAAACTGATAAACCCAGAACTACACACCACATTTGGAAAATGAAAAACAAAGCAAAAGCATCACTTTACAAATCTTTGAGAATCATATTCTAGTGCCTGCACTATCCAACACTGCTTGAGAAGCCCTACTTATACCCAGTGTCCCATACACTAACAGAATCAACAGTGAATAATATACACTTCACTGTTTCCTCATCTATAAAACTGAGATAACATCGGCTACTTTTCAAGTTCATTATTATTACAAGACAAAATATCCAATTTAGTAGGCACTTATTCAGCTGTATCTACCTCACAGATTATTCTCTTTAAGTTACTGAAATGCCTCCTTCACACATTCATCCCTTTTTCTTTCTCTGCCCTCAGTACAGGGCATGTTTCCTTCATTCCTGGCAGAGGAGGGGGAGGAGAGGAGGCTCTCCCTATTTCAGCATTTCCATAATCAGTATGTTAGAAGGACCTACATATCATGTGAACATCTAACTTAATTTCTAAAACTAAGCATTTAAAAGTCATTCCATTTTTCTTTCTTAATTCCCAGCTAAATCAGTCCTGAGGAACTTCCATTCTCTATTCTCATCCATTCAGAAACTTAAAAAAAAAAAATTCATCACTGGCTCAAGCCCATGTTCTTTCACTTCTCACATCAAAAAAAAAAAAAAAAAATCCCAGTAAAGTCACCTTCTAAAATTTCTTCACTCCTTGATTTCCATACCACTATGGTCTCCTGATTTTCCTATTTATCTAGATTTTTGTCTTTTTGCCAGCCAATACTGCCGTCAAAGAAAAAAAAAAATGAAACAGACTCAGGCACAGGGGAATCCAAATATAAAAAGTTAATGATCCAAATACTTTATAAATTATAATTTATCAGGTTTTCAAGCAGAATTATTGAACATTAAACCTCAACGAACAGAATAAAGCAGATAGCATGGTAGACCACCTAGAATAAAAATCCAAAAAGATGAAATTTTTGATAGGATTCCGATTCAGTTCTTGGCCTTTCTTTGCTGGCATTACTGTCCTTGGATTACTGTCTCCTAACTGTTCACGGTGTATTTACAATAAATGTCCCTTTACTTGAGCCAGTTAGACCAGTTTTCTGTTGTTTGTTAACAAAAGAACCAAACTCAGACACAAGGGTAACACTTAGTAATTATTAAATCACGCTGTAAATTTATATTTTAAAATACAGTCTCTCAGAGCTATATACTGTACTTAAATAAAATTCAACAAATCAACACTTTTTGATTACTTTCTGTAACAGACATGTTTTAAGATTCCTGCCTAGAAACGGCAACTTCATGATTCCCATCACCTCTGGCCACAAACACCAAAAGTAGTCCCCTAGTATCTGGTCAGAAACGATAAACTGACCAAATCAGATTCTTCTCTGAGCATTTGGGCCAGATAGATATGGAGAAATAAACTTCCTAAAGATTTGGCAGTTGTGGCTGTCATTCTGGGTCAAGTATAATCTGGTGAATAAGCAAAAGGTAATCAACATAAAGAGAAAAAATGTGCTGGAAAAAGTAGAGACAAGAAACTATGGAACCTGTATGGGAACAGAAAGTCTCCCAGTGGCCAGGAGGCCCACATATGTTATTTTCTGCTCTGGGGTTCA